CCTCCTCCTCCTCCTCCTCCGCCGAGGAGCATCTCGGGACCATCTTGCGAACAATTGCACGCACGAAATCGACCAATGCGCGGGGACTGGCCGCCCGAGCGATGGCGAGGGGCGGGGCAGGGGGAATGCAGCGGTGGTCATGGGCCTGCCCTGCGCGACGCATTGCCGTTGACTGAAGTCGGGCCTGTCCCTCTACAGGGGGAAGCTTCAAGTATAGTCCGGGGACGATTTTTGGACGATGTTTGCCCATTCGGGGGGCACTTTTTTTGTATTTATTCTGTTTCGCCCAAAATCCTCTTGTAGGGGACGCGCCCGACTTACAGGACCAGGCGCGGAGGTAGAGGGGCGGGGAGGGGAGGGAGGGGACACTCATAGAATTCAACAAATCCCCACGAACCCGGCACAGTACGTGCAGTGCCGGGGGCGGCGGACCGTCTCCCCATCCTGCCATCAAAGGGGGATGCGAAGTCCCTGGAGACGGGACGGGGTGGGCATTGGTTGGCATCATAGCCGACCCACAATCAATGGAGGCATCAAAGCCTCTGACCATCATACTGTCTAGGCTGATCCACTCACGGATCCAACACCTCATCTTCTATTCAATTCATTCCATGCGTAGCATGCTCTCCCTGATTGGGCCGTGAACGGGACTCAGTCCCCTGCCGGCCGCCCAGTGCCTGTCATAGAATTCATAGAACTCATTGAATTCAAAGGGAATGGGAGGGCCTCGTTGCTCCTGCCTCGTGGCTCGTTCTTCGTTCTCTCCCCCTCCTGTTCTGTTTCTCCCCTCTGTCGCCCTTCCTTCCCCCTCCCCTCCCGCTTCCCCTCTCCGCCGCCTCTTCTGCCCAAGGGTACAGGTTTCCGACTTACCTCGCTCGCAGGACCCCCCCCAAGCGGCGCCGCAGGAGACTCGCTTGCAGCATGGCGGACCGTGGACATGGGCAGCGTCAGGCGAAGGGCGACTTCGACCCCAAGGGCTACCGTGACGACCTCTACCGCGACCAACCTTCCCATCATAGGGCAAGGTCGGGCCGTGACCATCATAGGTCTAGGTCCAAACCCATCGCACGGGACCATCACAGGCCCGCGGCGGGGATGGGCCGCGACCATCATAGGTCTAGGTCCAGGTCCAGGGCACGTGACCATCACAGGCTCATGCCGCGGACCACGGGTGGCCACCATGAGGCCCCCACCCAGCCCCTCTCACCAGACCGCCTGCTCTGCCCTAACTGTGGCATCCGCGGACACCTCGCCAGGGACTGCCCTGCGCAAAGCCCCGGACTCCCAAGGAAGCCACCGCCTGCCTCGCCGATCGGGGCTGCCCCCAGGATGGCGCACGGGCTGACACCGAAGGCATCGCCGGCGGCGCGGTCGCCCCACCTGCCGCTGGCCTATCCCGCCAGGCAGTATGATCCTCACCACGGTGCCCAGTACTTCGATCGGGCTCCGCGCCGGGAACAGGACCCCCGTGGCCCCCGCGACCTCCCAGCCACCAGGGACCACGGGCAAGGCCAGGCTTACCCACCCAACCACGTCGGTGCGCTGGAGAGCGGGGTGCAGGCCGCCAAGAGTGCCATCCAAAAGCTGTCCGACATTAAGGTCCGCGAGCTACTCTTCTCGGGGGGCGCCGTTGCATCTAAGCTTCTGGAGACGGCTTACGCCCTCCCCCCCGACTACAAGCCCGACCTCCCGTTCGGCACGGAGGACTTCATCAATGAGCGCAAGAAATGCAACGCCGAGATGATGCGTAGGTGCATCTCCTTGTGCACCGCCAAGACCCGGAGGGAGATCTCCCAAAACGCCGAAGAGTATTGCCCCTACATCATGCGGGCGCAAGCCAGGCGCAACCTGCAAAAGATTGTGCCGTTCGTGCCCCTCGACTCGGACACCTTCTCCTTCTCGGTCTTCCTAGCTTGGATCTCGACCCAGAGCCCGTACAAACGAGCCGAGCAGTCCACGTCAGGCGAGTGCCTGTCCAACATGACCCACACGGTCGCCGCCCTTCTTGCGGACCAGGGCCAGGCGCATGTCGAGGCTACGGAGGCGACCCCTGAGGCGCAGCCTGCGTCGGCTCACACGCTCCGGGCACTCTCAGGAGGGGGTCGGGCATCCCAGAAGACGGTCACCCAGTACACGCTCGACGACATCAAAAAGTTCAAGCCTGACCGCATGCACCAGGCCAGGAACACGAAGACTATCGACTGGGCCATGGACGAGGCCGTGCCGACGGAGGACTCCCCAGCGTCGGATCGGCAACGCTTCGCAGTCTACCGCAAGGCGCTCGATGCCATCGTGGCGCCCAAGGGCCGGTCGAAGAAGCCAGACCCGAAGGTCCTCGCGGTCTTCAAGGACAAGGCGTCCGAGCTCGGCGTTCGCTTCGACGAGAAGCGACTGGGGGACTTGTCGCAGCTCCTGGCGGCCATCATGGCCAAGACGCGCTCGACAGAGATTTGACTATCTTCCCGTACACGCGCAGGAGCGCACCGCGCAAGCGGTGGTGTTTGGGATCTTCACGACGACGGGATGCCATGCATTTCCAGAACCCCTGAGATCCGATTTTGCAACATCACCTCTCTGGCATTGGTCCGCCATGCCCTCCACAGCGTGTACGCCGAGAATGTCTTCGTATGGCCATGCATGTTTGCACTCATTCGCATGGGCATTGCTCTCACCGCACCCTTCCTGATGTCCTCCACCACCGCCTTCTACAGCAAGCTCCGCACACTTGCATCCTGACCGGCCGCCGACCGTCCGAAAAGGGGGACCATTTTGCTAACTTCCCTTCTGCAGGTTGTGATCGTCACCGGGACCCGGAGACAAAACGGTGTATACGTTACTTGGCTTCCCACTTACAGGACCAGGCGCGGAGGTAGAGGGGCGGGGAGGGGAGGGAGGGGACACTCATTGAATTCAACAAAATCCCCACGAACCCGGCACAGTACGTGCAGTGCCGGGGGCGGCGGACCGTCTCCCCATCCTGCCATCAAAGGGGGATGCGAAGTCCCTGGAGACGGGACGGGGTGGGCATTGGTTGGCATCATAGCCGACCCACAATCAATGGAGGCATCAAAGCCTCTGACCATCATACTGTCTAGGCTGATCCACTCACGGATCCAACACCTCATCTTCTATTCAATTCATTCCATGCGTAGCATGCTCTCCCTGATTGGGCCGTGAACGGGACTCAGTCCCCTGCCGGCCGCCCAGTGCCTGTCATAGAATTCATAGAACTCATTGAATTCAAAGGGAATGGGAGGGCCTCGTTGCTCCTGCCTCGTGGCTCGTTCTTCGTTCTCTCCCCCTCCTGTTCTGTTTCTCCCCTCTGTCGCCCTTCCTTCCCCCTCCCCTCCCGCTTCCCCTCTCCGCCGCCTCTTCTGCCCAAGGGTACAGGTTTCCGACTTACCTCGCTCACAGGACCCCCCCCAAGCGGCGCCGCAGGAGACTCGCTTGCAGCATGGCGGACCGTGGACATGGGCAGCGTCAGGCGAAGGGCGACTTCGACCCCAAGGGCTACCGTGACGACCTCTACCGCGACCAACCTTCCCATCATAGGGCAAGGTCGGGCCGTGACCATCATAGGTCTAGGTCCAAACCCATCGCACGGGACCATCACAGGCCCGCGGCGGGGATGGGCCGCGACCATCATAGGTCTAGGTCCAGGTCCAGGGCACGTGACCATCACAGGCTCATGCCGCGGACCACGGGTGGCCACCATGAGGCCCCCACCCGGCCCCTCTCACCAGACCGCCTGCTCTGCCCTAACTGTGGCATCCGCGGACACCTCGCCAGGGACTGCCCTGCGCAAAGCCCCGGACTCCCAAGGAAGCCACCGCCTGCCTCGCCGATCGGGGCTGCCCCCAGGATGGCGCACGGGCTGACACCGAAGGCATCGCCGGCGGCGCGGTCGCCCCACCTGCCGCTGGCCTATCCCGCCAGGCAGTATGATCCTCACCACGGTGCCCAGTACTTCGATCGGGCTCCGCGCCGGGAACAGGACCCCCGTGGCCCCCGCGACCTCCCAGCCACCAGGGACCACGGGCAAGGCCAGGCTTACCCACCCAACCACGTCGGTGCGCCGGAGAGCGGGGTGCAGGCCGCCAAGAGTGCCATCCAAAAGCTGTCCGACATTGAGGTCCGCGAGCTACTCTTCTCGGGGGACGCCGTTGCATCTAAGCTTCTGGAGACGGCTTACGCCCTCCCCCCCGACTACAAGCCCGACATCCCGTTCGGCACGGAGGACTTCATCAATGAGCGCAAGAAATGCAACGCCGAGATGATGCGCAGGTGCATCTCCTTGTGCACCGCCAAGACCCGGAGGGAGATCTCCCAGAACGCCGAAGAGTATTGCCCCTACATCATGCGGGCGCAAGCCAGGCGCAACCTGCAAAAGATTGTGCCGTTCGTGCCCCTCGACTCGGACACCTTCTCCTTCTCGGTCTTCCTAGCTTGGATCTCGACCCAGAGCCCGTGCAAACGAGCCGAGCAGTCCACGTCAGGCGAGTGCCTGTCCCGCCGCCCTTCTTGCAGACCAGGGCCAGGCGCATGTCGAGGCTACGGAGGCGATCCCTGAGGCGCAGCCTGCGTCGGCTCACACGCTCCGGGCACTCTCAGGAAGGGGTCGGGCATCCCAGAAGACGGTCACCCAGTACACGCTCGACGACATCAAAAAGTTCAAGCCTGACCGCATGCACCAGGCCAGGAACACGAAGACTATCGACTGGGCCATGGACGAGGCCGTGCCGACGGAGGACTCCCCAGCGTCGGATCGGCAACGCTTCGCAGTCTACCGCAAGGCGCTCGATGCCATCGTGGCGCCCAAGGGCCGGTCGAAGAAGCCAGACCCGAAGGTCCTCGCGGTCTTCAAGGACAAGGCGTCCGAGCTCGGCGTTCGCTTCGACGAGAAGCGATTTGGGGACTTGTCGCAGCTCCTGGCGGCCATCATGGCCAAGACGCGCTCGACAGAGATTTGACTATCTTCCCGTACACGCGCAGGAGCGCACCGCGCAAGCGGTGGTGTTTGGGATCTTCACGACGACGGGATGCCATGCATTTCCAGAACCCCTGAGATCCGATTTTGCAACATCACCTCTCTGGCATTGGTCCGCCATGCCCTCCACAGCGTGTACGCCGAGAATGTCTTCGTATGGCCATGCATTTTTGCATTCATTCGCATGGGCATTGCTCTCACCGCACCCTTCCTGATGTCCTCCACCACCGCCTTCTACAGCAAGCTCCGCACACTTGCATCCTGACCGGCCGCCGACCGTCCGAAAAGGGGGACCATTTTGCTAACTTCCCTTCAGCAGGTTGTGATCGTCACCGGGACCCGGAGACAAAACGGTGTATACGTGACTTGGCTTCCCACTTACAGGACCAGGCGCGGAGGTAGAGGGGCGGGGAGGGGAGGGAGGGGACACTCATAGAATTCAACAAATCCCCACGAACCCGGCACAGTACGTGCAGTGCCGGGGGCGGTGGACCGTTTCCCCATCCTGCCATCAAAGGGGGATGCGAAGTCCCTGGAGACGGGACGGGGTGGGCATTGGTTGGCATCATAGCCGACCCACAATCAATGGAGGCATCAAAGCCTCTGACCATCATACTGTCTAGGCTGATCCACTCACGGATCCAACACCTCATCTTCTATTCAATTCATTCCATGCGTAGCATGCTCTCTCTCTCTCTCACACTGTGTGCACGCAGGGGTCGCCCACCCAATCTGGGCCGTCTCACTCCAGGACGCCAGCCTTGAGTGTCCAAGTGAGGAGGGGTTCGGAGTTCATAGACAGGGCATGCCGCAGCTATCCCACTCCAACCCTGGAGGACTGTCAAACTGCAGCCCGCTTGAAGACCTTGCAGATCGGTCTGTGATCCCCATTGTAGAATCTGGCTGCCTGTTTGTCATTTGCCTGTCTGTCTACATTCCCTGAGAAGTTCTAGCGCCAAGGGGATTGACATGACGCATGCGCTCTCCCGGCCAAGGACCGGAGGATCTACATCCCAGGGCCCACTATAGTCGGGCGGGTGGTAATGGGGAGTGACCCAAAGGGGGGGTGAAGAAAAAGGCCCCAAAGGGGCCCTTTAGGGCTTTCAGCTGGTGCCCAAAAGGGGCCCTAAAGGGCACCTTTGGTGCCTTTTTCTTCACCCCCCATTTGGGCCACCCCCCCATTGCCACCCGCCCGGTATAGCCTCCACCAGGCCACAGTGGTGGTGTGCACGTGCTCCCCGCGGCCCAGAGGCCTCACGCGTCAGAGTGACCCTTCGCCGGAGTGACCTTTGGTGCGGGCCCACCGGGGTCCCCCGATCGCCGAAAGCGACGCGATAGCAGCGCCTTGCGCGCGCTTCTGTTTCGACCTCCCACGTCCCCCCAGAAACCGCGCACCAAAGGTCACCCTTACCCAGGGCCGCTCCTGCGTGCAGCCAGCCAGGAGGCCCAAGGGAGGCATGAATCACATGTGAGGAGCAGGGGCGGAAGGCGGTCAGCAGGAGGAGGAGGAGGAGGAGGAGGAGGAGGAGGAGGCGGCGGAGCAGGAGGAGGAGGAGGAGGTGGAGGAGGGGGAGGAGGGCGAGGGAAAAGGAGGGAAAATGAGGGCGTGGAGGAGGAGGAGGAGGAGGAGGAGGAGGAGGAGGAGGAGGGAGAGGAGGAGGAGGGAGAGGGACGACGTCCCAAGAACGTCCAGGAACCTCCCGACAGCGCTCCCGAGCTGCCCTCCTCGACCAGCCCGCGCCTCGACCCTGCGGAGCGAGGCGAGGAGCGGAGCCCGCGGCGTGCCTCCGCCGCCGCGGGAGGGGCGGCAGAACACCGAGGCGGCTCTCCCGCCCCACGCCACCGGCTGCAGACGCTGGGCGGCCCGGCAGATTGGCCCGTGGCCGGTAGCCTCGGGTCGGGCGTGCCCCCCATACAGGAGGAGCAGTCCGAAATAGTCAAACAAAAATCCGGGGACGATTTTGAAATGTATTGTTGAGAGTGCTTGAATCGTTCTGACTAGTTTTAATTGGTCATCCAAGATCCGCCTGTAGGAGGACATGCCCGACCTAACGGTAGCCCCCTCACCCCCCCCCTCCTTCTGGCAATCGAGACCCGCGGCGCACGTCCTCCTTGGCCCTCCTGCTGCTGCTGCTGTTGCTGCTGCTGCTGCTTCTGCTGCTGCCGCTTCTGCTGCTGCTGCTTCTGCTGCTGCTGTCGCTGCTGCTGCTGCTGCTGCTGCTGCTGCTGCTGCTGCTGCTGCTGCTGCTGCTGCTTCTCCTCCTGCTCATCTCCAGCTCTTCCGTCCAGTATCGGTCGTTATCCCTCCCCCTCTCTGCCCGTCGCTTCGGGGTCCTGGACTGTTGATGCCTGAGAACATCCCGCCCTTCGTCCCCCCTCGTCCTCGTCGTCCTCCTCCCCCTGGTGTCGTCGTCCTCCTCTTCCTCACGTTCGTCCTCCTCCTCCTCCTCCTTATCCTCCTTCTCGCCCTCCTCCTCCTCCTCCTTATCCTCCTCCTCCTCCTCCTCCTTCTCCTCCTCCTTATTCTCCTCCTCCTTCTCCTCCTCCTCCTCCTCCTCCTCCTCCTCATCCTCCTCCTCGCCCTCCTCCTCCTCCTCCTCCTCCTCCTCCTCCTCCTCCTCCTCGCCCTCCTCCTCCTCCTCCTTATCCTCCTCCTCCTCCTTCTCCTCCTCCTATCCTCCTCCTCCTCCTCCTCCTCCTCCTCCTCCTCCTCGAGGCCGACCGCATGCTCGACCTGGGCTTCTCGCACGACGTGCGGCGCATCTCGGCGCTCGTCCGGCCGGACCGGCAGGCGGGCCCGGAGGAGGAGGAGGGAGGGGCCCTTCCTCTCCCCCTCCCTCCCCCCCATATTCGGCCCCTTTCCTCCCCCCTCCCTCCCTTCCTTCCCTCCCCTTCCCTCCCCTTCTCCCTCCCCCTGCCTCTCCCCTTCCCCCCCCCCCTTCACACCCTTCCCTCCCCCTCCCTCCCCCACCTTCCTCCGCCAGACCCTCATCAGTACCTACTCACCGCCCTCCCTCCCCCCTCCCTCCCTTCTCTCTCCCTGCTCCCGATCCCGGGGCCTTGAGCCTGAGGCCCTATGACTTCCGGCTCCTGAGGAGGGGGGGGGGGGGGGGGCAAGGGATGTGGGAAGGGTCGGCGCGCGGGACGGCGGCGAGAGTAAAGGAGGGGACGTCGGCGACGGAGGGCGGTGGCGGAGGCAGAGGAAGGGGGGTCGGGCGAGGAGGCAAAGATGGCGAGGGATGGTGGTGGGGGAGGGAGGGGAAGGGCGAGGGAGAGGGAGAGGGGGGAACGGCAAGCTAGGTGCGCTCGCGTCATATCTGACGTCCTACCCCTCCCTCCCATCCCTTACCATGGCGCTGATTTTCTCTATCCGCGGACGCGTGTCGTAGCGGACCTGTGGCTCCGCGCGCGCGTGCGTAGTGGTGGTGGTGCACGTGCGTGCGTGCGTGCGTGTGTGCGTGTTTTTTGTCGTGGTGGTGTGGTGGTGGTGTGGTGGTGGTGGTAGGTGGTGGTGGTGGTGGTGATGGTGGTGTGGTGGTGCTGGTGGTGGTGGTGGTGGTGGTGGTGGTGGTGGTGGTGGTGGTGGTGGTGGTGGTGGTGGTGGTGGTGGTGGTGGTGGTGGTGGTGGTGGTGGTGGTGGTGGTGGTGGCGGTGCGGCGCGGCGGTGGCGGGCGGATGGGCGCGCGAGAAAAAGGCCCGCGCTGGGGCGAGAACGCCATCCTGAACGACGGAGGCCAAACACCGATCCGAAAATGAAGCCCACGCTGCAGCGGGAGCACGATTCGGAACGATTCGGGAGCAGAAATGAGGCCGGCGCCTCAACGAGAGCACCATTTTGGGAAAAAATGACGCCGGCGCCTCAGCGAGAGTCGTTTCCCGGGATTTCCCGGGAATCCTGTGTGTAAAAAAACAGTACGCGGAGGGTGCGCGGCCATCACCCGGACGCCATCAGGGGAAGAGGGAGAGTATTTTCATATTGGGTAGTTGTGGAGGAGGAGGAGGAGCAGAAGGAGGACAGCACTGGAGACGAAGGGGGGCAGATGAAGTGGAGGGGCAGGAAGCGAAGAGGGAGGAGGGTGGGCTGCGCATGGGATCGGCGAAGGGGATGGGAGGGTGGAAGAAAGGAGAAACGCTGAGCGGGTGGAAGAGGAGGAGATGTCGAGGAGGAGAGGCAGGAGCGGGGAGGAGCAGCATCAGAAGTTGACCGGGGCGTCGCGAGCTCCTCCGCCCAGGCATTGGTCTTCTCGGCCCAGTGGAACGAGGAGGCTTCCGGGGCTGCTGCTCTGGCCACCTCTCAGTCTGGGTGTGATTCGGTGTGTGATCGCGTAGGGGATGCGACATGACTGTCAGGAGCCTGCTGGGTTTCAATGATAGTGAGCCGTCGCTCGTGTAATTTGACCTGGGTTCGTTCCAACTTGTTTCGGGAACACCATGAGGAATCGCGCTCAAATCTAATTTCAACCCTCCATCCCTCCAGGCCTCCCCGCAAGCACCCGGAATATGCATGGGTTGAAGTTGGGGTCTTACCCCCATATTGGGAGCATGTCCCCTGCGCTGCCCAGCTCCCCTCACGAATACACAGGAATCCCGTAGAGACCCTTGAGACACTCTTGACGATTTCTTAGCCGACGAGAGGCTCCTGAGACTGCAAGCGCAAATGATCGGCATATCTGCCAGTTTTCGGGTGACCCACCCGCCTGCGGGTCACCTGCGCGGTGCCTGCTGATGCAGGGCATGCACTGATTGGGAATGCAGCAATGCATAACCCCATGTTGCGGCCCAGAATGCGAGTGAAACAAGTAGTTGTTTTCAACCAGTTTTCGGGGAACCCACCCGTCGTTGGGTCACCCGCGTGGTGCCTGCTTCATGCACGAAATGCATCGAACGGGAATGAATCATCCCATGCTGGTGTTTCAACTGCGGGTGCAACAATTTGGTTTTCGCAACCAGTTCTCGGATGACCCACACGACTTTGGGTCACCATCGTGGTGTCTGCTTCACGCGGGAAATGCATTCACTGGGAATAGATCACTTCATGTTGGGGCCCAAGATGCAAGTGAAGCAGTGGGTTCCCTCAATTCGGATGGCCCGCCCGCCTGTGGGTCACTCGTGTGTTGCCTGCCTGCGTGCGGGAAATGCTTGCGTATCTGTATATGTACATACATAAATATACACATACATACATACTGTTCTGTTTTTAATACATGCTCCGCGTGCGGATCATGTATAAAAGATAAAGGGCTTCAGTACGAAATAACACTGATGAAATTATGCATTGGTTTATTTGTACATTAGTCATGTGATAAAAGTTATATCTGTTTAAAACTCCTATGTATTAGAAGCTGTCCTGTATACACATACATCATACAATCTGAATGCATCACGCATCATGGCCTCCACATTGTGTAGGCTCAGCTCCTGGGGGGCCGCGAGCCAGGGCTCGGAACTCAGACGTCCGAGGCTCGACCGCCTGTTTCGTTCAGGTGCGGCGGGCCGCGCCGCCGAGTCCAAAGCTGGCGCCGTAGCATTCGTGATTTGTCGGCGGAGATCTGGGGGAAGGGTGCAGAAGAAGGATTGGAGGTGTGAAGGCAAGCCCCAGACGAGCAGCGCATGGTGACTAAAGGCAGACCCCCGTGCCGCCGCGGTGCGCTCAGCCGAAAAGGTCGAAGACCACGTCCTCCTCCTCCTCCACGGCCGCGGCCTTCCTCTCCTCCTTCTTCTTGCCGCCGCCCGCCGGGTCGAAGACCACGTCCTCCCCTCCTGAATTTGGGGGAACCGAAACTTTTTTGATCCGCGGGTCGAGAGCGAGCCTCTTCCGGTCGAAGCTGAGCGGGCCGCGCACAGCTTCAATTGGCAGAGGGAGGAAAACAGAAGGAGGGGCCTCACGTCAAGGCCAAGAGAGGGCAACGCCCCGGGATCAGGCGGTGCCGAAGGCGATAGGGGGAACCGAAGCACAAAGCAAGGAGATCAGACCTCGGAGGCCCAAATCGCATGGTGGCTTAGATTTGGGTGAAGCGAGACATCCAGCGAAATGGTGACTCATCTTAGCCTCGACCGTCTGCTGGTTCAGCTCATAGTGGTCGAGACACCAAGCCAGAACATCAAACATCGGAGGCCCGATCGTCTGTTGGTCCAGATGTGAAGTAGCCGAGACGCCGAGCCAAAACATCGTACAACATGGTTTCGATCGCTCGTCCGTGCAAATCAGCTGAAATTGAGACACAGAGCCAGAACATCAGACATCAGAGGCTGGACCGCCTGCTGGTTCGACTTTGGGGAAACCGAAGCACCGAACCAAGCAATCACACATCATAGCCGCGATCGTCTGCTGGTTCTGATCTGGGGGAGCCTGGGCACCGAATCAGAAAATCAGCCATCAATGGCTCGATGCCTGTTAGTCCAGATTTGGGGAACCCAGGCACTGCGCCGAACAATCAGACATCATAGCCTCGATCGTCTCTGGGATTAGCCGAGGCTCCGAGCGAGAAATACCATGGCGACAAACCTAACCATATGCAGATGTGCGTACCGTCATTGTGAGTATCGCCTTCGGTGGATCTTCTTATGGGGTCACGAAACGTTTGAGGGGTGTGCCGAAATGAGGCGGCGACGCCATGCAGACCCTTGCATGTGGGCCTTAGTTGGAGCCCCCATGTTGGGCCACGAAACTTGCGAGGGATGTGCCAAAATGCGGCGGCGACGCCATGCGTACCCCCGTAGTTTGAGCTCCCTATCGGAGCACGAAAGTGGGCTTTCGCTGGCGCTCCCTTTGGAGGCACAAAACATGGCGATGCGGACCCTGACATTTGGGCCTTCGTTGGAGCTTTCTATGGGGGCAGTAAACGTGTGAGGTCTGTGCCGGAATGAGGCGGCGACACCATGCGCACACTGGCATCTGGGCCTTCATTGGAGCTCACTATGGGGGCCACGAAGCGTATGAGGTTTGTACCAGAATGAGGCGGCGACGCCATGCGGATCCTGACATTTGGGCCTTAGTTGGAGCTCCGTATGGGGCCACTACGCGTGTGAGGGGTGTGCCGAACTGAGGCGGCAACGCCATGCTGACTTTGGATCTTGGTCCTTACAAGGAGCACCCTGTGGGGCCACGAAACGTGTGAGGGGTGTGCCGAAATGAGGCGGCGGTGCCTTGCGGATCCTGGCATGTGGGTCTTAGTTGGAGCTCCCTATAGGGGGCACGAAACGTTTGAGTGGTGTGCCGAAATGAAGCGGCGATGCCTTGCGGACCCCGGCATGTGGGCCCTAGTTAGGAGCTCCCTACGGGTCCACGAATCTTTGGGAGGGGGTGTCGAAATGAGGCGGCGACGCCATACGGACCCTGGTACCTGGGCCTTCGCTGGAGCTCCCTATGGGGGCAATAATTGAGGTCTGTGCCAGAATGAGGCGGCGACACCACGCGGACCCTGACATGTTGGCCTTAGTTGGAGCTCCGTATGGGGCCACTAAGCGTGTGAGGGGTGTGTCGAAATGAGGCGGCAACGCCATGCTGACTTTG